TCTGTACTTCATGCACACGAGTGAGGGGGAGTACATTTGGCTCTTGGTATATGTCAATGACCTCCTCCTAGTCTCAGGTTCTCTTGATCTTCTCAACAAGGTGAAATGTATTCTCACAAGTGCATTCACGATGACCGATCTTGGTGAGCCAAGTCATTATCTTGGTATGAACATTGTGAGAGATCGTAAGTCACGGTCCATCTTCCTATTCCAGCAAAGGTACATCTAAAAGGTCCTTGAGAGGTTTGGTCTTGATGATAGCAAGCCATCACCTACCCCGCTTCCTTCCAACTTTGTCCCTCTGTCATCACATCAGCCCTATTAAGAGAGGGAGTCAAGCCTTGACATCACGGGCATTGAGGAGTTGTGTCCTGAGGAGAGTGAGCATCATGGTGAAACTTCACCAAGGTACCCCCACAAGACCTAGCTCTCTACCGAAGTCAGGTTGGGTGTCTCATGTATGCAGCCCTATGCACAAGGCCCGACCTAGCATTCACGGTATCTATGCTAGCTCAACACATGAGTGCCCCTTCACCTATTCATATGCATGCAGCCAAGCGAGCTCTTCGGTATCTCAAAGGTACTTCTAATCATGGTCTTCTCTTCCAAGCCAGCCCACATGCAAGCTCCCTCCAAGGCTTTACCGATGCAGATTGGGCAGGAGAATTGAGCACACGCAAGTCTACCGGCGGCTACATCTTCCTCATGTGTGGTGCCGCTGTTTCTTGGCAATCACGCAAGCAAAGTTGTGTGGCACTTTCAACAACCGAAGCTGAGTACATGGCAATGACCGAAGGAGCAAGGGAGGCAATCTGGTTACGTGGACTCTTGGAGGACTTGAGGCAGCCGCAAACTCAACCAACTCCGCTCTACGTGGACAACACTTCAGCCATAGCTCTTTCCAAGAACCCGGTTCATCGTGGGCGTACAAAACACATCGAGGTGCAGTACCACTTCATTCGTGAGCAACTAGAGAAGGGAATTCTCGCCATCAACTTTTGATCAAGCAGCAGATTTCATGACCAAGGTTCTTCAAGATGATGCATTCAACATGTGCAAGGCAAGAGCAGGCCTCATGACACTTCATGAAGCAGTGGAGCAGTTTGAGGAGAATGAGGAGTGTGAGGGGAAGAGACGTGGGCAGCAGCATGAAGTGTATGCTAAGGAGATGTGAAAGGAGCATCAGCATGGGTGTATGTGTGCTTCGGGTCTGGTGCGAGGGGGAGTGTTGGAGAATCGAGTTTCTGCCGCCCCAGCCCTTTGCACACAAGCAGCAGCAAGGGGGAATGTCGGCGATGAATCAGAGGCTTCAGGAAGTACTTCGAAAGTTCCACCACCAATCAGATTTCAGCCGAAGACTCGATACAGTTCAAAGCTGCCTTCAAACCTAAGTGTTGGCAGTTTCTACAGGTTTCTACACATCAGAATCAGCTATAACAGAAATATTCAGAGTTTTCTTATTCATGCACCTCATGTGGCACCCAAAGTCACTCAAGGTCCATCCAATCTAGATTGTGCCCAAGTTATCAGGGAAGTTACATTGTCTATCAGCCTAGTTTGAGCTTTCAATCTGTCTTGTTTGTGATGCCTATAGAATTGTGCTTTAGTGGGCTTGTTAATCTTAAACATAGTGAAGTTTTACCTCATCCAGTCAATTCCAGCAGCCCTGCTAAGACTTTCCAGCCAAGTTTCCAGACCTCCAGTAGTCAGAGCTAGTCTGTTTTACAAGTGTGTGTGACGTAGGTTCCGAAAAGCCTACGTTTGCACCTCATTGCTATGGCGCAGGTTTAGGGTAAGTGAAGTGTAGGTGCGCGGTACGTTGCGGCAAGTTGAGCGCATGTTGAGGGCAGGTTTTGAAGCTGACGTGCAACCAGCCCAAGGTTCGAGCTTGAAGTTGCGGAACGCAGCTTTCCAGCTAGCCAACCCGAACCTCCTGGGCCTTTCTAGGCCGAGCTTCAAACCAGCCTCGTGAATCATTTGTAGAATGCTGTACAATCTATTAAGTTAATATTTGCCATCTGTATAACGTGTTATTCACTGAAATCTCTTGATACCTTTTGTCAATCAATGATTTGCCAGATTCATTTCAATGAACTGTGGTCCAGTCACACAATGGCTGTTAGGAATAGTAAATATAGCTGTGCATTCCCATTGTATAAGCCTATCTATGTGTTTGTTATGATATTCTCAATCATTTTATATTCACTCTGACATTAGATTAATAATTCCGCTGCAATTTACTCAGCGCGAACCTTCCTATGGTGATCCTAGGTAAGATGTCTTATGAATGATGAATTGACGAAGAGTCGCGTCAGGTTACGTAGCATCTGGACCGTCGAAACAGAAGCATCGGGCAGTTGCAATGGCTACGATTGTGACGGGAAGAGGTTCGTAACTGTTCGGATCGATTGGGATTTGCTGCAATAAGAGAATGTACCCCTTACAGTACATCGCTAGTCTAGGTCGTTTCATATTCCCTTCTACTCTAATATAAACTATTATATTTGCGTGTTTTAATAATCTCAGTCATTTTAATTCACTCCGACCTAAGGTCAAAAGGGCCCACCACGTGCTGCGTAGTTGTGCGAATGAGGTCAAACTAGTTCCTATGGCTAGAAAATAGGATGTACTAGGGAACTATGTGAAGAAATATAGGTAAAAAGATTGAGAAAGCTCCGCAGCCCGGGGAGAGAAAGGTGGTGAGGAAGATCAACGCCGCAAGAGGGAACGGAGAGGACGTATGCTCACGAGCTTTCTGAGCGAAAATAGGTGGAAATATGCAGAAGCTGAATCTATTTCTGAGGGCAAGCGAAGGAGGAATAGGGAGAAGGCAGCAGATGAGGAGGGAGGGAGGACAGAAGGGAGGACAGGGGAGGCATGTTTTGATTGGCGGTGCCGTGAGTCATTCATGCAAGAGGCGACGTGCCACCTATCACCCATCAATCAATCGCAGTGCACGCTTTCTCACCCCACCTGTCATCCGTTTGCCTTGCACACCCATGCATGTCGAGCCTTCCCCCTGAATGGAATGGTGGTGGTGCTAGTGTCGAATCTCGACCACATTGCATCGGCATGCGGTGCGGGCGGGGCTCCTATCGTTGGAAAGCACGAGAGAAGGTGGAGGCGATATAATTCCTCCTGCAGCTCCGCATGGAGTGTCATTGCTAGGTATTCTTCATCACCCTTGACATGACCAGTGTAACCAACGCAAGAGATAACTCGACCGGCCGCCATTTCCGAGACTCTACGGCCTTCCTACGTCCTCACAATAAAAAAACTTGGCTGTCACACCGCTGTCGACGTTCATCACTCTTGACATGATCGTTGTATCTGATAAACCGACCCCGTAATGTTTCTCAGACTCTCTTGTAGCCTAAGCATCCAAATGAATAACATGGCAAATGTCATTTCGATATACTAAAGTCCATGAACAACACGGTTGAGGATCACTATGCTCATGTTTAGTCGTGACGTCACTGGCGCTTCTAGACATCTCCCATGTGTTGCGAATGTTGCAACTTACGGAGCCGTTTTTTTCAAATCGGTTTGCATCTTGCCTAAGTAAGTAACAGGGAGTTACTGCACAAAAATGCATTGTACTCCTAAGTTCTGGTTTTCCGCACTTTGGCACTGTGCCCTGTAAAGGGTCCAGGCTTGCCCATTTACGAGTGTCGAGATTTCACTGCCTCTGTCAAACTTATATGCTATAGCCTGTGTAGGCTGTAGTGGGGTAGACAATATGGGGTACAACATTTCTAGGTTTTACTACTTGTACCCACCTCTTTCCTAGTTGATTCATTCCTCATTCTTCACATGGTATAGAGCAGGTTCCCTCGTGGGAACGCTTCTCAAGGCCCACCTCTGAACTCGACTATTTTTTCCTGCCCAAGGCGCGCCCCGTAGGCCGCCCTCATGTCGCGCCCTCCTAGAGGCCTCTTGCGCCACCCTTAGTGGCCCCATCGCCACCCCTTACAGCCCTATCGCCGTCCTTTGCGGCCCCGTCGCCGCCCCTCTAGGCCCCTCGCGGACCCTTCGCGGCCCCGTTGTCGCCCCTCTAGGCCCCGTCGCCGCCCCTCTGGGCACCTCGCGGCTCCTTCGCGGCCCCGTCGCCGCCCCTCTAGGCCCCGTCACCACCCCTCTAGGCCCCTTGCGGCCCCTTCATGGCCCCGTCGCCGACCCTCGCGGCCACGTCGCCGCCCTTTGCGGCCCCGTCGCCGCCCCTAGCGGTCCCGTCGCCGCTGAGCCGCCGAGCAGCAGAGCATCCGAGCCACCCAGCAGCCGAGCAGCCAAGCCGCCGAGCCGCCCAGCAGCCAAGCCGCCGAGCCGCCGAGCCGCCCAGCAGCCGAGCCGCCTAGCAGCCGATCCGCCGAGCCGCCCAGCAGCCGAGCCGCCGAGCCGCCCTATCGTCGAGCCGCTACTGTCACTGCAGAGCCGCTGCCACCGCGGTTACAGTCCTGTTCCTACCGGCGCGCCCCGGCCCTACTCACTCGGACTGGTGAGATCACTCCCTGCTATACCAGCGCTGTCACGGCTACCCCCAGTGTCCTTACCTTTGATACTAAGGGTCGTGCTGTTGACTTTGAGGTCTGGGTCGATGACCTCCAGCTGTTCCCACAGTGCGGTAGGGCAGACGAACTCTCCCTGTTCGATCTCACCTCCGGTGCCTCTCCTGCCGCGCCTACTAATGCTGACAGCACTGTTCGCTCACAGTGGGCCATACGCGATGCTGCTTCCCGTCTTGCTGTGCGTCGCCACTTACCGACCACTGAGCGTGTGCACGTTAGTCAGTACAAGAGTGCTCAGACCTTGTACGATGCTGTAGTTGCATGCTACTCTTCCCCTGCCACTGCTGCTCTTAGCCACCTCATGTTGTTGTACCTGTTCCCTGACCTTGCTGCCTTTCCCACATTCGCTGACCTCATTACGCACCTTCGCACTAGTGACACTCGCTACCGCGATGTGCTTCCTGCTGAGTTCTGCGCCAAGAACCCACCCCCCCTATGTATATCACCCTCTACTATATAGTCACCCGGCTCCCTGACTCCCTTCGCTTGGTTAGGGACCACTTCCTCTCAGTTTGCCCCACCACACTAACCGTTGACCTCCTCGAGGAGTGCCTCCTAGCAGCAGAGAAGAGCATAGTCGCTGTAGGAGCCTCTCGTGGTGACCCTCGCACCCCCGTCTTTAAGGGGTGTTCCCCCTCCCCCCTCTTGCCCTCTATTGCCTCTGCTGCTGTGGCCGACCTCGTTGGCTTCGAATCGGTGGGCGCTGCGTCTGCCCCTAGCGTGAGACACCGCACCGGCAAGGGCAAGGGGGGCAAGGGCGCTGGAGGGGCTGGCGGGGGCGGTGGAGGTGGTGGTGGAGGTAGTGGAGGGGGTGGGGGTGGTGGTGGGAGTGGTGGCAAGGGTGGAGGTGTCGGTGGCAGTAGTGGAGGCGGAGGAGGCGGCGGCGGTGGCAAAGGGAGAAGAGGCGGCGTAGGTGGCGGAGGCGGCGGAGGTGGCGGCGGCAGCGGCGGCGATCATCAATTCCCTAATGCCACTGAGATCCCTCGCTGGGGAGAGCTGTCTAGGGCGGGGGTTGCTATCTTTAATCTTGATTATGATGCTATTCTTGCTGCCATGTATGCTGTGTCTACTAGTGATGAGGGTGAGTATTACCTGTGTGTTCCGCCTAACCCGGGCGTTGAGGCTGCTGCTCTAGGTGTTGGTGAGGCTGCTGCTCTAGGTGCTAGTGCGTCTGGTGCCCCAAGTGCTGGTGAGTCTGGTCTCTCAGGTACCACGATGGCTCAAGCCGTACACACATTCACCCTTGACTCGGGTGCTTCCCGCTCCTTCTTTCGAGACTGCACCACGCTTACGCCGCTTAGTCGGCCGGTTGCAGTCTCCCTGGTGGACCCCTCTGGGGGTCTTGTCCTTGCTAGCTTCTCCACTGTCTTACCGTGTCCGATAGCCCCCTCTAGCACCCTGTCAGGTCTCTACCTCCCCTCCTTCTCTACGAACTTGGTGAGTGGAGCTGATCTACAGGATAGGGGGGTTGACCAGTTCACTCCTGCGAGTCAGCGGGTGACCCACTGTACGTGTGCTCGGACGGGCCGACACTTGGCCACGTTTACCCGTGGGCCGGGGTCGAGCCTGTACATACTGACTACCGAGTCTCCTCCGGTTGCTGAGTCTGGTCAGGTAGCTGCGTCGAGTCAGGTGTTTGCTGCAACGTCCAGGTCTGGTCCTGAGTCTGCTCCCTGCTCGTGTCGTCTCCTGTCCCACTAGACTCTCCTTTGGCACCACTGTCTTGGTCACCCCTCCCTGCCTCGTCTCCAAGGCATGGCCTCCCGTGTCCTTGTCTGTGGTCTCCCCCGGTCTCTCCCTCCCCTACTTCCAGGGCCTACCCCTTCCTGCGTTCCCTGCATCGAGGGGCGGCAGCGTGCCGCCCCTCACTCCTCTGAGTTTCCTACGACAGAGGCTCCGCTCGAGACTCTTCACATGGACGTGTGGGGCACCGCCCGCGTCCGTGGCCTGGGTCACAAGCGTTACTTCTTGTTGGTGGTTGATGACTACTCGCGTTACATGACGATGTTCCCCTTGCGCAGCAAGGGTGACGTCACTGAGGTGTTGATCGACTGGATCCGCGCAGCTCGTCTCCAGCTCAGAGCAAGTTTCGGCTCGGACTTTCGTGTTCTGCGTCTGCACTCTGACAGGGACGGGGAGTTTTCCTCTGCCCATCTGGGAGCCTTCTGTCGTGCACAGGGCATCCGCCAGACCTTCACGCTTATGGATTCTCGACAGCAAAATGGGACTGCTGAGCGCCGCATTGGCATGGCCGTGGATGTCGCTCGTACGTCCGTGATCCATGCGGTTGCCCCCCATTTTCTGTGGCCGTTTGCGTTTCAGTGTGCAGCGCATGAGCTCAACCTTCAGCCCCGGGTCTCCTTGCCAGAGACCTCCCCCACCTTGCGGTGGACGGGGAAGGTTGGCGATGCGTCTGCGTTTCGGGTCCGGGGATCTCGGGCATTTGTCCGCGACTTGTCTGCAGACAAGCTGTCCCCCCGTGCTGTTCCCTGCGTCTTCCTTGGCTTCCCCCGTGATACGCCTGGGTGGCAGTTTTACCACCCTACCTCGCGCACTGTTCTGTCCTCCTAGGACGTCACCTTTGACGAGTCGGTGCCTTACTACCATCTCTTCCCCTACCGCACTGCACCCCTCCCCCCGCCGCCGCTCTTCCTTGCGCCAGATCCTCCCCCAGTAGACCCCCTCCCCCCTCAGGGTCCTGCCCCGTCAGGTGTGTCCTAGGTAGACGCAGTCAAGCCTGACGAGGTAGCTGTTGACTCTGGTGCTGCTAGAGGTGCTGAGCCTGCGGGTGCCGGGCCTGGAGGTGCTGAGCCTGGGGGTGCGGAGCCTGGGGGTACTGAGTCTAGGGGTGCGGAGCCTAGGGGTGCTGAGTCTAAGGGTGTTGAGCCTGGGGGTGCTGAGTCTGGGGGTGCTGAGCCTTGGGATGCTGAGTCTGGGGGTGCTGAGCCTGGGGGTGCGGAGCCTGCGGGTGCTAGGTCTGCTTGTGTGGCCTCTCGCAGTGCTTCGTCGAGGCGGGAGCTACTCTCTCTCCTTAGGAGCTGCGCGAGTGGTTTGCCCGACATTTGAGGCGTGCTGCTGGAGCTAGAGGTGCTACTATTGCTGCTTGTCCTTGAGGTGCTCGTACTGATGGTACTGGAGCTGCTGGGACTTGGGGTGCTATTGAGGCTGCTAGAGTTGGTCCTGGTGGACGTACTGCTAAAGCTGCTGGCGGTACTAGAGCTGACTGTCTTGCTAGAGCTGGAGGTGCTGGAGCTACTGGAGCCGGAGCTGCTGCGGGTGTTGGCATGGGTGGTGCTGCTGGCGCTGCTACTTCTCAGGGTGCTGGGGTTGGCGCTGTTGGAGCTCGAGTTACTGTTGGCGCTAGTGCTGCCGCTGGGGGTACTGGTGCTGTCCCTATTGGTTGTGGAGGCGCAGCGCGGCCGCGGCCGTACTTTGTTCCGCTCCTTGAGGAGGTTCTTGTTCTCGCGCCCTCCACTGGTCTTGCTCCTCCCTTAGAGTGTCCACATCCTGTCTAGTCGCGGTCACTGTTACAGCCCACCTCCCCCCTGCCTGCTCCTTCTCCCTACACTGGTCCTACTTGAGGTCTTGCTGAGCGTCGTGAGCCTGCGTCTCGTCCTGCGTTGCCTGTTCGTGCTGCTCGCAAAAGTAGTTGTGCTCCGCGTCCGCGTCCTCCTCCGGTCCCGAGCACACACCAGATGGCACTGCGTCCTTCCAATGCTCCTTTGCGTGGCCCGTTGTAGTCTCCTCCAGAGTCCTCTCCTCCTACTCTTGCTGACCCGTGGCCTGACTCTCTTCATCCTGCCAGTCCTACTGTCACGCGTCTCTTGGCTACCGTTGTCACTTACCCTTCCTTTGAGTCCACTATTGCATCTGCCCTTCTTGCTGAGCTTGTCGACTTTGCTGCTCGCTGTCGTCTAGACTACGCTGCTAGTCTTGTTGCTGAGTCTGAGTCTGTCTGTTCTCCGCCCGTCGGGGGTGAGTGTGCTCTTAGCACGGACGTCCTTGAGGACAGGCAGGCGGAGTTGTAGTGTTTTTCTGCTGCTTTGCCTCATCTCGTGTCCATGCTGATTGCCTCTAAGAGAGACCCGGATGCATTAGACATCCCGACTCCTCGATCGTACGCTGAGGCGATCGAGTGTCCCTACTCGTCTCAGTGGCCATCACCCATGGACGCAGAGATGGCTTCCTGGAAGTCCACAGGCACCTACATCGACGAGGTTCATTCACCTGGGGTGAACATCGTCAGTGGCATGTGGATTTTTAGGGTAAAGCAGCCGCCGGGTTCTCCGCCTGTCTTCAAGGCGCATTACGTGGCTCGAGGCTTCAGTCAGTGGTAGGGACTTGACTACTTTCAGACCTTATCTCCCACCCTGAAGATGACCACTCTTCGGGTGTTGCTGCACATAGCCGCTTAGCGCGACTACGAGCTTCACTCTCCTGACTTGAGCATAGCTTTCCTGCAGAGCAGCCTGCACGAGGAGATCTGGCTGCGCCGCCGATCTGGCTTCACTGGGTCGTTTCCTCGTGGTACCCTGTAGAGCCTCCGGCGGCCAGTCTACAGTCTGCGCCAGGCGCCCCGTCAGTGGCACGACATACTGAGGACTACACTTGCGAGTAGCCCGCCACGAGACAGAGCCGGAACCAAGGCTGAAGGTGTAACCCTGTGACGACCGCTGCGTAGCCTGGTCGTCAGCCCAAGAAGCGTCCGCGTGTCCTGTAAGGACCACTGGACTCCGCCCTCCAAGCACTAGCCCCATGCCCGACGTACTGCACAGGTAGCGCAATACCCTCTTCGCTGCAGCCATGTGCTCTGGTCGGTGTCTCCCATGAGCAACATAGTGTGCAAGAATGCTAAGAGGGTATGCAAGGTCAGGTCGTGTGCAGGTCATCAGGTACATGAGGCAGCCAACAAGCTCTGGGTACGGGCCACTCGACTCTACGGACTCATCCGAAGGCAGAGCTGAGAGCGAGTGGCGAGTAGAAAGAGGAGTGGCCTGAGGTGAGGAGTACGTGAAGCCGAAGCGCTGAAGGACCTGCTGCACCATGTGTGACTGAGTCAAGGTAATGGTGCGGCGTGCTCTGTCCCGAGTGATCTGCAAGCCAAGATAGCTGCGCAGTTCACTCAGGTCTGTGCACGTGTGTCTCTTCAGCAGCTCGGACTTCACGTAGGCGAGTCCAGCAGTGTCCGCTGTGGCAAAGACCAAGTCGTCGACGTACACGAGGATGTAGAACGGCGGCAGTGAAGTGTCGGTGCGCAGAAACAGCGACGGGTCAGCAGTAGAAGGAGCAAACCCAAGAGCCGCAAGCGTAGTCCTCAGTGTGTCGTGCCACTCACGCGGTGCCTGGCGGAGACCGTAGACTGGCCGTCCGAGGATCCACTGGGTGCCAGGAGGGAAAGTCCCAGTGAAGCCAGGTGGACGGCGCAGCCAGATCTCCTCGTGCAGGCTACCCTGCAAGAACGCAGTGCTGAAGTCGAGAGAGTGAAGCTCGTAGTCGCGCTGAGCGGCTATGTGCAGCAGCACCCGAAGAGTGGTCATCTTCGGGGTGGGAGAGAAGGTCTGAAAGTAGTCAACTCCCTGCCGCTGACTGAAGCCACGAGCGACGTACCGCGCCTTGAAGATAGGTGGAGAGCCCGGCGGCCGCTTCACCCTGAAGATCCACATGCCACTGACGATGTTCGCCCCAGGAGGGGGAACCGTGTCAACGTAGGTGCCTGTGGACTTCCAGGAAGCCATCTCTGCATCCATAGCTGCCTGCCACTGAGAGGAGTAGGGACCCTCTACGGCCTCCGCGTAAGAGCGCGGAGTCGGGATGTCTAGTGCATCCGGGTCTCCCTCAGGAGCAAGCAGTACAGACGCGAGATGAGGTGAAGCAGCAGCCAGACACTGTAACTCCTCCTGCCTGCCCTCTAGGACGTCCGTGCCAAGAGCACACTCACCCCCGACGGACGGAGGACAGACAGACGCAGACTCAGCAACAAGACTAGCAGCGTAGTCTAGACGACAGCGAGCAGCAAAGTCGACGAGCATAGCGACAAGAGCAGACGCAGCAGTGGACTCAAACGAGGGGTCAGTGACGACAATGGCAAGGAGACGCGTGACAGTAGGACTGGCAGCACGAAGGGAGTCCGAATCAGGGTTGGCAAGCGCAGGAAGAGAGGACTCAGGAGGAGAAGGCAAAGGGGCACGCAGAGGAGCAGTGGACGGACGCAGAGACATCCGGTGCGTGCCAGGGACAGGAGGAGGACGCTGACGCGAACCGCGACCACTAGCGCGAGCAGCACGAACAGGCAACGCGGGACGAGACGCAGGCTCACGACGCTCAGCAAGACCTCCAGTAGGACCAGTGTAAGGAGAGGGAGCAGGTAGAGGGGAGGAAGGCTCCAACAGTGACTGCGACTGGACAGGCTGTGGACACTCTACCGGAGGAGAAAGACCAAGAACCTGCTGTAGGAGCGGAACGA